TGTTGGTGAACGGAGAAACTTACTGCCACTTAGATTTCCTGTGGTACTTGAACGGGTTGTTGTGGAGATGAATCCCTTGCTCAGTGTGAAGCTCAAACGATCCCTTGGAGGAAAGTAGATCCAAACCTCCAGTTTGAATCCCCAGCTCAGTTTGAAGCTCAGATTATCCTTCCAGGGAGAGAAGCTCCAAAACAGCCAGTTTGCAAGTTAAGACTCAGGTTGACAAAAACTCAGTTTGACTCAGCAAAACTCAGCTTGGCTAGAGTACTCAAAACTGGCAAACACTCTGGCGATGAGGTAGTGGCAGTCAGCTGCTTAAGAGCACTCCGTTAATGAGGTAACCCTCCGCAGGCGTGTGAGGAGGCAAACCAGGACCAGGTGCCGCCTGGTGGAGGAAGGAAGACAAACACCTAAAACACAAAACACACAGACAGAAGTCCTAACAAATGGATGGATGTGTTGCATGAGTTAGTCGATTAGTTGATGTAATGTGTCATTACATCAACTAATCGACTAAGGTGTAGGAAACGTGATCTACCTGAACAAATTTTTTTTTATATAATTAAATTTTCAGTAAAAATCAAGCAATTACCAGAGCCTCTCTTTATCACAGTCAGTCATCATCATCACTATCACTAGATTTATCCTCACTTGAGTCAATGGAATTGTGCCACTATAGACATACAGTAGCAGCCATTCAAAATGACTCTTCCCAGTCAAAAGCCAGCCAAATGGCAGCAAAATCCCCTTCAACTTCCAGCCAGTGGAGTGACCCCCTATTGCATATATATTTTTACTTTGACTCCACCCGTTCATTGAATTATAGGATCTGACCAGGAGATGACACTTTTTTTTAAGATCTTAATGTCCACAAATCATAAAAGGAAGAATATTTTAGACGTTTAAAAATTAATTGTAGGCAACTAGCCAAGGGCCCATCAAGAAAAGTGGGGAAATTCTGAATGGCTACTGCTGTAATTGCAACAACAAAATGCTTTTCTTCATAACATCCTAATTTATAAACTACAGTAAGATTTAACATTACCACTCTCTCCAGACAAGACTCTGCGGTACATCTACAGTAAAAAACATTAAACATTTTCCCCACTTCCCTTGATGGGTCCTTTGATGGCCCTTGGCTAGTCCCCTACAATTTCTTTTTAAACATCTAAGATCTTCTTTTTGTCATGATTTGTGGACATTAAGATCTAAATAGAAGGATCATCTCCTGGTTAGACCCTGTAATTAAATGAAAGGTTGGAGTCAGAGTAAAAGAAAATATACATACCCATGAGAAGTCCAGTGGCTGGAAGGCTTTTGACTGGGAAGGACCATTTTGAATGGCTTCTACTGTAGACCTTATGGAAAAAGGACATTCTTTGGAGGACCAGAATGTTGACATTTTGGACAAAGAAGACAGGTGGTTGAGGGGCGTGAAGAAAGCCATCTATATGAAGAAAAAAAAACAACCTTAAACAGAGGGGGGGAGGGGGACTCAGGTTTCATCTTCCAAAAACCTACAATGCAGCGATAGAGTTGATTCCTTCTGTTAAATGAGGATTGTTATGTCCCCTTGAAGGCAGTTGCGCCTCTGGACTTCCCTTCCTGGTTCCCACTATCATCGCAACCTCCACCCCCTTACAGGGCAACAAAACAACTCGCCAGTTCAGCCAGGCCAACAATTCCCTCTAGCGACCCCCCTTTCAGAGACATATATTGTATTGCATGCTAACAAAGAACCCAGATGACCCCAACCCCTAAGGGGCGGACCCGTTCATCCGGATCAATTTGCATGTTTTCTATACAAAAACAAGGCTTTGTTTTTGGTCCAGTCTATAAAGCATTTGAGAAAATGTTGATACCCTCATAGTTGATGGCCATAAGATGGCAGTCTGTGTCAAATGATATATAAAATAAAAACCTATGATAAACAAAAAATTGGATTTTAAATAGCTGCCAACTGCAGAGACGACTAAGCATGAAAGGGTTAAAGGACACTTTGGTTTACTGAGATAATTTATTGAGATATGAGAATTAAAATCTAGTATCTGCAGGATAATCTCATTAGAATGTATTGGTCAATCAATTAACCAATTATATAAACGTTCAGAAAAGGAGAATTCAATGTTTTTATGTTTCAGATGTCTAACCTGACAGGAATGAAAATGTAAATTATTTTTCACATTAAAATGTCTTACATAGATTTTTTTTAAAAGGTTTTCAGTCAATTGAAAAATATATAAATAATTCAAAGATTATGACAAATTAAATCATTGACTAAATATTTCTAATGGTTTTTTCTATGGTTGTATTTATTAAGGGTAAAACGTGTAAAACTTTAATGTGTCTTTGTCTCTGCTGCAGGAACTGAAGGAGGATATCTTCATCTCTATCATAGATCTGGAGATGATGCCGTTCTACGTTGTAGCAGTTCTACAAACTGCTCCACTATTAACTGGTTTTACAGCAGAGGTTCGTCCACTGATCATCATCAGCAGGTTAAGGATGGAAAAGTTCAGAGTTCACCTCGAGCTGCCAGGTTAAATGTGGACAGTAACTGCTCTCTGATCATCAACAACATCACTGCTGAAGATGCTGGATTTTATTTCTGTCGATTTGGTTCAGGATCCACCTATGATGGCACTGTGTTTCTGAACGTTCTGACCAGTGAGTATGTAGACCTGAATGATCTGATGCTGTCAGACTCTTTCCTTCTCATTAACATTGTGAAATACTTGTGTTGGACAGATGTTTCTGACATCAACAGTTCTGATGAATATCTGATGCAGTCAGAAGTTCAAATATTGTTCTGTCAGAGTGTGAACCAATCATTTATTCAGCTCTGTGTGATGCTTCAACCACACATCAGTCCACACACTTAGTTTGACTTTACAGTCAAAGATCTGATGTTGAAAAGGTTCATTCATTTCATGGATGATTGTTTTTATACCTAACAATGATCAAATCAAACTCAATGTGGTTTTTAAATCTTATTTCTGCCTCCAACTGTGTTTTTGTTGAGTTTTCTTTGTTGGGTTTCGGCTGCTTCCTGTTTGAGCTAAAGGCGGGGCCAAGCTTTGAGGAGCCTGACATCAGGAAGTGACCTCATCAGAATGAACGCTGTGCTCAGCTGCTGTGGGGCTGTTTAGATTCAATTAGTTTCTCTTGTATTGTGTGGTTAAATGCTTTGATCAAACCACTGCATCATTTACTTTCATTTGGAAAGATTTCTTGTTTTTTCCATCATGCTGATAAATACCTGCTCAGATCTGCAACATTAGTGCATCAATCACCAAGAAACATGGAGACAACATATAAAGTTTCATTAGTTTTTTTTTTTATGGTTTCTTATTTTTATTCCGCTTTTCACAAACCGAGATAAAGTTGTCTTTTTAGGTTTCTCACCTTATATAAAGTTTATTCTTCATCTTTCTAACTCAGACAACAGTTTTCATTTTTCTTTCAGTCTCTCCATCTTCACCAGCTGATGATCCAACAAAGGATGGAGATGTCACATTAAGGTGTTCTCTGCTGAGATTCAGCTCATTGGGTTCTTGTCCAAATAACAGCCTCCTCTGGGTGGATGAGACAGGAACTAATCTGACTGGTGTTGGGTACCAGTTTAGACAGACTGGCTGTGATTCTAATCTCACTGTGAAGCTTCAGAGCAGCAGCAGCAGAAGATACACCTGCCAGTTTATTGAGGGAAACACAGTGAAGATAGAAGCTCACTACCAGCTGGAAGGTATGATGCTGGAAGGTATGATGTCATCTTTATAATGAAGCATAGTAGTACTGGTTTATACTTTAGTATGCTTTATGGGTTTTTAACCATGGTCATTGCATCTTTTATCATCTTTGAATCCCAGAAGCAGTTCCTCCCAAAAACACCAACATCATCATCATCCTCCTTGGTGCAGTGATCGGCGTCCTGCTGCTGGTTGTTCTGGTTGTTCTTTTCATCAAATGCAGGAAAACTAGAGTTAAAGAAGATCATAAAACCACAACAGGTACTGTATCTTTAATCTACAGAGCAAACCTAAAGCATCTGTAGACACAGAAGCTGTTATTGGTTATTGTTATAAAATTTACCAACTTCAATACAGACAAACAAACACCTGATCATAGCACCAAAATATTCATTGAAAAACGACTTTGTTCAAAATTGGCATGTTTCCCATTGATTTTTGCAATGACAGTTCACGTAATATAATGGTCAATGTAAATGCAACTTATGGCGCCATAGTAACCAATCACAGGATTCCCCAAAAAAGTTATAAAACAATCCACTGGACTTTTTTCCAAGTTTGAAGCTGTTTCAATTCAATTGAAAAAGCTTCCAGGATGGGAAGCAAAACATCTTCAAATTTGAAAACAAAGTCCAGTGGATTGTTTTTTTACTGTTTTGGGAATGACTATGACCTGGATGACTAAGAATCTTCACCAGAATACAATCAGTTCCCCCAATGCGGTTCCAGGGCTTAATCTGGCCTGGTTCTAGCCTTCTGCTAAAGAACGGTTCCCAAGTTAAACACTGCAAAAACGTTCTGAAAATGACTACAAATTTCTTAAATTAAGTGTATTTACCCTTAATTTGAAAAGGAAAATAAAATGATCTGCCAATGGAATGACTTTTTTTTTTAACTTATTTTAAGAAAAAACTGATTTAGATTTACATTTCTTTGCAGTGTCTAAAGCGTCCAGCAGCACATCTAGTTGTTATGGAAGAGGATTAGGGCCACTGGAAAAAAAAAAATGTTAACTGATTTTTAAATTTTATTTTATTTTAACACAGGAAAATAGTCAGAATTCTCACTTTAATCTCAGAATTCTGACTTTAATCTCAGTTTTCTTACTTTTTTCTCAGAATTCTGACAGATAATAAAAATTTTAGCATCAAACCATAGTCATGTCTGTTTTAGAGACTAGCTCTTTTAAATAACCTTCTGCTCCTCCATTAATGAGGGGACCTCTCGGGCACGTAAAAAGTTGCCTGATTCAACACACAACTCACATCTTAGTCAGTGAAGGTGAGAGCTCCACATCTCTACCTTCATGGAGCCCATCTACATTAAGATCCAAAATTCTGAGAATAAAGTCAGAATTCTGAGAAAAAAGTCAGAATTCTGAGATTTAAGTCAGAATTCTGACTTTTTTCCCATATTAAACTGAAATAAAATTTAAAAATCAGTTAACTTTTTTTTTTTTTTTCAGTGGCCCTAATCCTCTTCTGTAAGTTGTTTCAACCATTGTTTTTAAAATTTGTTTTTGGTCTTTGCAGAAATGCTTAAATTAATATAACTGTATTTAGGTTAATTGTTTATTTTTATTATGATCCTTCACAAAACCACAGAGTAACACAGATAGGATCAAACAATATATACATGAGATATTTCTGATTATGTAATGATGGAGCTTCACTGCAAACATTTTTAATCCAAGTAAGACATTTTTTCCTAAAATATGTGAATTTTTTCTTGAATTGAGGAGGTAAGTGAGACACTGTGAATGGAACAAGACAATTTACATTTAAAATAAGGAAAAACTATTTTATTGTTTTATTCCAAGTGCATAATGTCTAATTAGCATTTTTTAGGAGTAAAAATACAAATTTCACTGGCAAGTCATCTTATTTAGCTGCTTAAATTAAGGCGCAAATACACCTCAATGTATCGTGGAGGATTTTCATGAATTTTTTAAATGACCCGCCCTCTCCACTTTAAAAAAATGTGCGTGTGAGAGCATGCATGAGCCCATTTCTCCTCGTGCTCAATCTGTTTAAATATTTGCTGTTCTAATAGCTCATACAAGCTTACTGTGCCCAAACATGCGCTCTAACCACCAAATCCCTCAATCACTATATAGAGCGGGGACTATATAGTCAACTTACCGTTCGGACAGATGATCACTGCTTATTGCTCCGTTGAACACGTAACTCCGCCTCCATTGTCTGGTGCCTGCACCATCTTTGTTATTAGTCGCAGCTGTAGGATAGCGACTGCGCGCTGCTTTTACAGCAAATCCCATAATGCTTTGTGAAGAGAGCTCTATGTGCAAAGCATTCTGGGATATATCTGCCTCTTTTGAGGCTTTTCTTTTTTTTTCATACACTTCTAAGACACTTTTTCTCTTACGACACTCGGCCATTTTCAAAGGACCTCATTGAGAAAGGTGAGCTTCCACGACTGGCTGAAAGATAGCTAGCAGGACGAGCACGTAGGACAGCTTTACGTAAATATATCACCAAAATGATTGACAATTAAGAGGACAATTAAGACAATTAAGAGTAATTTAGACGATCCACCCGGAAATAAAAGATCGTCCTCTATAGCTTTAATTATAGAAATTTTTACTTATTTCTAGATAATTTTTGCAGTGATTAGCTGGTTTGGTTCAGTCAGTCCTCTTTAACACTGAACTCAGCACTGAACCCTGCAGGTAGTCGACTAAACGCCACAATTTTCTGCTCCGTATTTCAGAGCCTCAATCAAGCAGGAAGCTCTTCCTTTTTCGGGTTAAAGGTGATATAAAAGGAGAGAATAAACTATTGAAAGAAAAATAAAAAGAAAGTGCATGATACTGTAATTGTATGTATGTAAGTATGTAATTTATGTATGTAAGTATGTAATGTAATGTATGTAATTGTATGTAAGTTATGTTTGCTGTACAGAAACATGTCTCTGCATACCAAGGTCAAAGTTCAGCCTAATTAAACCTTAAACATGGCAACTGAATTAATTTGCAGAGCTCCATGTTGTGTTAATGTGGATTTTTTATATAGATAATTTTCTTTTTGTGCACAATACAATAAACACAGATGGGATTTTAAGATGATCCCCAATATTCTCCAGTTAGAAGGAACGGAGCTATTTTTACTGAAGGTGGTAAACTGACTGCGTCCTTTTAAAGTGATGCAAACCCACAGATTGCTGTTCCTGTTATGTTCCCATGTTTTTTTAAGCATTTTTAAGTAAACTGCCTCTTCTATAATAATTGCTCTGAGCTCCACTGATGTTCTTTTTTAGCTCATTTTGATGCCTGACATCTGGGGACGAACTTTCCTCTGAATAAGAACAGTTTCCAGAGTAACCCTGTAGTGCTATCAGGAGCTCCGTAAAAAGCAGAAGTTGGGTCTGATGATTAAAAATTTTTTACCCAGAAATGATAATCATTTTTTTTTCTTTTATTTATTTAGAGAGTCAAGATTCAACCCATGAAAGTCGTCGCCATGTGAGTAATTATGCACTGCAACACATTTGTTATAGAATTATGAGAATGCAAAAAAAAAAGTGACACTCTGTGTGTTAAAGATGGTTGGAAAATGTCAAA